GCCAAATACAAATGCCTCTCAAACTTTTGCCATATCAACCTCTCACAGACGACACACAATTCAAAGGCTGACTCCCTGTGGCCCATAATCCTATTAGGATCTTGTATATCAGTCACAGCCAGATTTCAGCAGGCAGCCGGTACAAATGCAAGCCTTACTGTTTCCACGTAAGTTGCTAAAAAGGTCAGTGAGCTACCACTTGCTGCTTGCAATTAATTCAGAAACATATCCCCCTGATTTGTGTAGTCAAATGGGAAAGAGGTACCTGTCCTGTTTAAGGGGAAGTGATAACATATTTATATAAACAGGAGAATAAAATGCAAATTCTACTCAAACTATGTAATGCCATGTAAATCGAACAATAAACCTTGAATAATGATAAATCTATTCCAAAACCAATCCTTAAACAGTGGGTTGATATTATAGGCATAACAATAAACCTCACTAGAACATCTGCTGACTTTGAAGGTAAGCCAAAGGAACATCTAAAATATCATTGGGCAAAACCTAAACTCTAAACATAAACCTTTGGTAGTTTAACTTTATGCTAATGTTGGTCCTTAATGTCAAATTAAAATTAATCTCAATCCATGTCTGTTCCCAATTTTGTGGGTACAATTTTGTGAGTACAATCCACCACTCATACTGTACTAATAAATCCGGACAAAATTTAAATTCTGACACAATATTAACCATTAGTACAGTTCTATTTTTTTCAGATTTTTCTTAAGCATTCATTCATCATTGCAGTATCAACTATATAGCAACTCAATGTTTATTCCAAAATGTACAGTATCGTGATTATTCCACTATTGAATAAACTGTTGAATATTGAATATACAATCTTTTGTTTCATATACAGTATGTACAAATGAGTCTCCCATTAAATAAAATAAAAATAATATAATTGTAAATACATTACATATTTTAGCTATAGGGTAGGAAAATCTGAATGACAAACAATCCTTCTTTAAATTACTGTGTTCTTTATGTTAACAGGATTACAACAGTAGTAGAAATGAAGATTCATATCCTTCAGACTATATGTGTAATTTACCTTGATTACTGAATAAAATACTGTGATAAATAATACAATAATTTCCTTTAAGTACATAGTTAAATGTAACTATGGCAATGCCAATAGCTTGGTTCTTTAACGTAGGTAAAACTTTACAAAGCTGACAAGTGATGTTTTACCTCAAATTGTATGATGTTAATACAATTTACTTAATGCATTTATATTGTTTACAGTGTAAGTAGCTGTCTACCTGTCCTAAGCTTCACTAAACCTACATTTAGAAGCTCATATACATTCCAGTGTTCATCTACACTGTTATTCTAAGTCAGAGGTATTGTTATTTATTTTTCCCCACTGATTGCTGATGTGTGAGTGTTCTGGTGCACTATGGCTCCCATTGCATCATCCGGGTGGATACTGCACATTGGTGGTGGTGGAGGGGAGTCCCCATTACCTGTAAAGTGCTTTGAGTGGAGTGTCCAGAAAAGTGCAAGCAATTATTATTATTAACCCTGTCTCAATATGAAATTGAACCAATAGACTTTTCAAAATATTCTCAGAGATCCTTAATTGATCTTCAATATCCCACTATTTTAGAACACTACTATGTTATTTGTGATCTGTGCAAAAGATGTTATTAAAGAGATGTTATTAAAATGTATCTGGGGGCAGAGCCTCTGTGGCTGGAAGGTTGCCGGTTCAAATCCTGTGGCCGGCAGAGGAATCCTACTCCGCTGGGCCCCTGAGCAAGGCCCTTAACCCCAACTGCTCCAGGGGAGCTGTACAATGGCTGGCCCTGCGTTCTGACCCCAAGCTTCTCTCCCTGTGTGTGTGTGTGTCTGTGTCTCATGGAGAGCAAACTGGGGTAAGCAAAAAAGACTAATTCCGAATGCAAGAAATTGTATATGGCCAGTAAAGTGATCTTATCTTGTAACTAAAATCATTCATTATATGTACGTGTACAGTAAATATGAGACTGCAGGCTGTGGTCTGAGCAACAGACTTAAATTGCTGATGTGTTTTTAGCCTTAGAATCTGGTTATAATGACAGGTTCCTCAGTGAATTTTAACATTAGCATGTGTTTCACATACAGTATATCTTCAATCATTTACTTGTCCTGAGTCACCCTGGGGTCAGGGTTAGCCAAAACTCCTAATCTGCTACAGACAGACTATTAGCTGGTGAATCCTGACATGACCAGTGTTAAAAACTGTTGAGGCAATTTTTAAGTACTCCATAACAAGAAACATGTTGTGTGTTGCCTTTTATACTCATTATTAACTAATGTTAGCCAAGCATTTTTTTAATTTCTATCGATTTTCCAATTTCAACCCCAAAAAATAAGAAACAAGAATCCACATTTTAAAGGCATAACAATCAATTTAAAAGTAAGATTTTAAAAATATCTAGCTAAGGTCACACTGCATTTCTTGACTGAAGGACCATAGTTGAGAGTTCTTTTTTGCATTTTAAATGCTTACTCAAAAATCAAGAACAGTCAGCATTATCTGCTGTACACAGCTCTTTCACAGCAATTGTTTTTTCAACCAAAAGAGTCACTGCAGCTCCACACAAATCTTGTCATGGAAGTGCTACCAAATTGATTCTTTCTGAATTAGGATTGTGAAATAGGCACTGTGTCGATACGCGGTTGACAGATTGAGCTCCTGCTGATGCTGCCCATTTCCACATGATGTAGTAGACTACCGTGTCCAGTCCTATATTTCTTTTAAATATATTTTAATAACATCTAGCGTGGAATGCATTCTGTATTCACATCCAGTCCATAAGAACACAAAACTCCCCTGGTGAGCCCTACCGATCAGCAACACTCCCAATATCGCAAAACAACAAAAACAAGAAGATGAGGGAGGGCAGGAAGCAGTGAACTGGTAGTAATAGTGTTATGCTATTGTTTACTGTATGTACTCAAATGTATTTGTTCAGTTTGAAAGTCCTATATCAAAACTGGGTTAAAAGCAAAATCACAAAATCATTCAAAATTGCTATTAGTTTGTAACAAAACAAATATCAGAAGCTGAACAATTTAAATGACTTACATTTAATCTTTTTTACAGAAATGTACTTAAAGAACAACAAATGTCTGCTAGTCCTCCTGTATTATCCATTGATATTAGTGTTTTTTTTAATTCTGTAAGATATCCTGTACTTGAAAAATCACTTAACAAGCACTGAAATGCTAAAAACAATGCTTTAAAAATGCTATCACTTCAGACAGGTGCTTCAGGTAATGAATACATGACTGAAACAGTCATAAACATTTCCATTCAAACACTAAACAGATGAGATATAAAAACAGGATACAATAGTAATGCTCACACAAACTGGGAAATCTGCTTGCTTAAGACTGCACCTTTAAAAAAGCTCCATGTGACAATCTTATACAATGAAAATTTCATTCCTGGAACAAGAAAGTGTTCCAAGGATTTCATTCTCTGCCTCAAATGAACAGAGCACTGTTCAAGTGTGCACTTTAATAAACCCGCTATCTGACATTAGAACTGTTTTAGATAGACTACCAGCCAATTTATCAAATGGCTTCCCATTTATGAAAAAGGTAATCCGATCAGGAGGACTGGGCTTTTTCAGACAATCACAGAAGTTACCAGCAAACACAGAGCATCCTCGAGTCAGGACATACGAATCATCATCTGCCTTTGTACTGCATCCTGTGGTTGTTTTATAACAAAGTTTGGAAATTAAGAAAAGGCAGACACAATTATGAACGCCAATCACAAAATCAATCTCCTTTGATTCTGAACATTGAGTCTGAATGTAGTCAGTTCCTTAGTCCTATCTGTGACGGTTCAAATATAATTGATGACGGTAAAAAAAGAACCCCAACAGGATAGCACACAAACACAGCAGTGGCAAACACCTTTGCCACCTACAGGCACCTAGAGTACCACAGAGGTGTTAGATCCCTCATGCCTGAATTCTCACCATGTCCATACTGTCATTTTCCAAATTATCTTTGCATTTCGTCATTAGCCTCCGTATAATTTATTTTGTGAAACATCCACCATCACAACCAAAACCAGAAGACAGAAATGTAAAATCAAGGGTATTATATATATTACATATCTTGTAATTCTGTAATTCTATGACTTGTAATTCTATATATTTTTAAAAAAATACTGAACCCTGAACATAAATTTTCGTTACCCAGGTCACACTTCTGTTCTGTGATTCATGTTTATTCAGAAACTCCCTAAACTATACACAGTGCATTCGATTGCATTTTTAATTAAAACGTTAGGAGACGAAAGCGCCTCACCCTAACCATTGCTTCTGAATACCAAAAGGTACATTAAATAGCGTTCCTTCGGGGGAGGAAACTTTAATAAAAGGGTTTTTGTAGAAAGAGAAAGTAATCTGTTATAATCAGACGCCGGTAATCCATGTACCTGTAAATTAAAAGTCCTTCGAAAAGTCATGAAAATAACAAGAATGTTCAGCATAAAAAAACATGGAGCAAAATGTACAAGTAAACTGCTGTAGAAGCCTATATTAAACCATGTATAAATTATTTTAATTTACCAGCAAAAATAAAATATAACACACACTACAGTCCACGCTCTGACACCTTCTCCCAATGCTAACGTAAGCGCACTCTCTGCATCCTATTCGACTTCCTATTTTTCAGCAAGACCAGATAGGACCTGCGGCGAGTTGTCCTAGAATATGCCTGTTACAGCATTATAAATGAGAGGAGAATTTAAGAATGAATACAAAAGTAAAAAATATATAAAAGAAAAAATAAAATAAACTCACAGTATTTCTTAACAATATTTAAAAACATCTGACCTGCGGTTACAATATTTTTCTTCTGTTGTGTGCACGGTTGCATTCGGCACAGGTTCTGACAGCTCTGCTTTGCCATGCTGTAGAGTGTAATTAAAACAGGTAAGAAAGCTCCCCTTTTGTTAGAAGTTGTTAAGCTTTGTTCAGCATGTAAAATAAAAACAGCCTAGACGGAAATCGGGAGGGGTGCCTCAAAATAAAATGTTCCTCATTACAGTAAAAAAATCGTATTGGTAAATATTGATAAAGGGCTGTCTAATATCTCGTAGTTATGAATAGGTACAGTATGTGCAATGATATATGGTAAGGGTTTATTTCTTAATTCATTTGTTTTAGCTGGTAGGTACTCATACACACTTCAGGATCTAGGACCAAGAAATTGCAACGAAGAGCATCGCTCAGTTATACAGAACATGGTTGTAGCATATTAAAGAGAATCTCCTTTTTTTTATAAATCGGGAATTTGTGGTGACAAGTCAGAAATAGTTTTGAACTAGTGAGGGCAACGTAGAGTACCACAGTCCTGATAATGTCAACTCTTCCTATAAACCTGTTCTTTTTTTTTACTGGAGGCTGATGTAGCTCTGCGTTCTTAAACTGTGTATATAATTTGTTGCATGTATAAAAAGTGCTGCATTTTAGTAATAAGCATATTTGCCTATTTCCTAAATGGCGCCTTTGTATGGATATAGATTCCCCCCCGGAGATTGCAAATTCATTTTGAGATTTGTAGTTTCTTTTTTAGAAATGTAGTCGGTTCTTTTGTCGAATTGTTTCTTTTTAGAATGTTTTAAAGTTTTTAATTCCGCGGAGGCACTGAAATAGGTAATTAAAATTTAAATTTTATAGGTTATTTTATAAGTTATGGGGGACGCTAAAGAAAACTGTGCAAATGATGAAGTCTTGAGTTATAACAAGGAATAGGAGTTTGAGGTTCACATAATGTATAAACCGACCACAGGTTCTGGGTAGCTCCAGATTATTACCCTACTTTGAATAAATCTGGAAAAAAAAACAGATATGTGAATACATGCTAATTTATTACTTCTTTGTATGAGATAACAGGGCAGGAGTCTTCCAATTGAAAAAATGGAGGCATTTTGAAAGGGAATTGGCAAGGACCAGGGTTTCTGTCATAGGCTGGAGCAATTTAAAACCTATATTTTTCCAACAAAATATAAACTACAAAGGCAGAGTGGGAGAGCAAAAGTGAGAAATAATCATGTTTTTCTAAGAGCCATTAGCTCGTAAAATTGCTATGCAAGGGAGTCTTCTTTAAATCACTCGAAAACATTTTTCACCAGTACAGACTCCTCCGAGTTATTGATAGGGTCAGTGCAGATTTCAGTAGGAGGGAAATACATCCTTATGTTCCCCTCACAGGAAGTGCATTAAAAATATCAGGTACCTTTTTTTGGCTCAATATGGACTTTTCCTTAAAGTGGTGAGAACAAATAGGTAAGATTCAATTATAAAAAGGCATCAACTCAGCAGTTTTTACAAAACATATTTTGAACTACAGATCACACTTCAGAATTCTTACCCCCAGTACGTGTTGGAAATGTAATTGAAATTAACTAAGGACTTACTCATGTGCAACTGGTTGTGGGTTTTAAGACCCCGTAATCTTGGTGTATTTAATCATGTCGAGCACTCTGAGAAGCCACCTTTAAAGGCGATTTTATTCATAATTTAGGAGGTAATAATATGAATTCTTGAATATATATGAGATCTTCCCATAAAAATAATGCAAACTGTATGTTCTTCTTTTATGTAAAAAGTCGATCATATTTTTAGAACATAATTTAATATCCAATTTAATTCTTTATATTTTATTCTATTATATACCAAATGTATTTGTCAGATATCAGTGTTTTTTTTTTAATAAGATCACTTTATTGGCCATAAATAATTTATTGTATTAGGAACTAGTCTTTTCACATACCCCAACTTGTTCTCCATGAGACAGGGAGAGATGCTTTGGGTCAGAGCACAGGGTCAGACATTTATATGGCGCCCCTGGAGCATTTTGGGTTAAGGGCCTTGCTCAGGGGCCCAACGGAGTAGGTTTCCTCTGCCGGCCGTGGGATTTGAACCAGCAACCTTCCAGCCAGAGGCACAGATCCTTAGCCACAGAGCCACTGCACCTATCCCAAAGAGATAAAGATGTTTTTAAAGGAGAGCCTTTTAGAACAGTTTTTTTCATACCTTTTTTTGACTGAAAGATTCTAATGTATTTCTACAGGAAATGAAAACTTTTGTCTCCGTGTTCCCAGGAGATTCAGTCAGTACCATGAACGATAACTGGATGTGAACCTGGTGGTTTGAGAACAGCAGGCTTCCCAGGAACGGTGATCCAGAATGACTTTGAGAGTGGAGACTGTGAAGAGGTGGCAGCTGGAGCTCCATTCTGCTCAGGACTGGCTGCAGTATGAGGTGGGTGTGGATGGCTGCTATGTGGTGAAGATCCAGTGTGCTCTGTGCAACAAGCACAAAGCCAAGATCAAAGACTTGCGAAACTTCAGTCCAGCATTTGTGAATGGTATCGAGGGGAACTCTTTGAAGAAGGACAATGTCAAGAAACACTTTCAGAGTGAGATGCATCAGAAGGCCTTGGCCCTAGAGAAATTAAGTGGCAATGTACCCAACCTGCCTTTAGTGTTGGCCCAGACCATTGAAGAAAGTCACCTCAATCGACTTTTTGATATTGCCTACACAGTTGCTAAACTAGAGCTACCGCTTGCAAAGTTTAAGCAGCTTGCCAAATTGGAACTGCGCCATGGGGTGGACTTGGGCCAGACAGCCATCACTGAGCAGAAGTGCAAGGAGTACATTGACTACATTGGTCGATCAACAAAGATTGAGCTGGTGCACGCCATCCAGGAGGCTCCCTATTTCTCTGTGATAGTGGATGGTTCAGCAGATCCAAGCATGACTGAAAAGGGAATGATTTATGTGCTGTATGTGGATCGTACTGGCCTGCCCTGCATGCGTTTCTTTGGTTTCCGAGAGGTGGAGCATGTGCATCCAGAATGTTTGAAGCGGACAGTTCTCAATGCATTTTTGGAAGAGGGCATTGACATAGAACGGAAGCTTGTAGGCTACATGGCAGATAGTGGCACTATAAAGGCAGACATTCCACCTTTATTGCAGAAGGAGATGCCCTATCTCATTTCGTTAAACTGTGCGAGCCATCGATTAGAGATGGCTGTCAAGGGAATATTTCATGGTACTAGTTTCGACAATGTCAACGAGATGCTTCACCTCCTGGCCAAGCTGTACTGGACCTGCCCAAGCCGAATGCATGAGCTGAAGACCCTGGCACAAATAATGCTGGAAGGAGAGACCAAGCCCCACCAGGCTGAAGGCACTCGGTGGGTGCAGCACAAACAGCGGGCAACCAGAGCCCTCTTACAAGCCTACCCAGCTGTTGTCTGCAACCTGGCCAACATGTCCACCCAGACAACCCTGCCCAAAGAGAAGACCATCTTCCAGGAGTATCTGAGAACTCTGCGGAGCCTCAACTTTGTGCTACACTTACTCTTTTATTCTGAGATACTGGAGCCCATTGCCAAGCTGTCCCGTTCATTGCAAAACAGCACTGTGGATCTTGTCTATACCGCCTCACTGCTAGAGAAATTCTACAGCACTCTGGAGCGATTCAGCAGGGGTGCTCTGCATGGCCCTCTCCATGAGGTGCTGGAAGAAACAGAAAAAGATCCCCAATCTGTCTATTTCAGTGGGACTCGGCTGCAGTGTGAAGCTGAGATAGTTAAAGCATTTAAAGAGAAGCTTCCTTCTTATGTGGCCACTGTGTCTGACTGCATCCTTCACCGGTTTGGTGCTCTCCATCTGATGGAGCCCATCCGCTGCTTGAAAATATTGGAGGCTGATCAGTGGCCTGAATCTCCAGAGGACATGGAGAACTATGGCACTGTGGAGTTACAGGTATTCTGCCGGCATTTTGCCAAGCTTTTGGCCATCAACCAGGTAGATGTGACAAAGCTTTTGGAAGAATGGGAGCAGTTTAGGCAGTTTCGAACTGAGTGCCTCGCTGAACTTTCCAGCCAGCAGATGTGGCAGAACATGCTGACTCGAGATCGTGCACGTTTCCCCAATTTCTACCATGTTATCCACATTCTCCACTGCTTCCCAGTGTCCAGTGTGGTTCTAGAGTGGGGATACTCTGCAGTCACCCGCTTGAAGGCTGAGAGCAGAAGCAAGATGTCCATCAACACACTGGAATATCTGACTAGGATCTCTGTAGAGGGTCCTGAGCCAGATGTCTTTGATCCCCAAGCAGCTGTCAGCCTCTACTGCTTTGAGCAAATGGGTTTCATTGCTGACCCTGTTGTCAAAAGGACATCTATGTCTGTGTTATCAGATGAAGAAATCAGTTCTCCCAATAAAAGGGCCTGCTTCACCCCAGAGGAGTACAGCAGTGACTGAAGGGCTCCGGCGCCGCAGACAAAGCTAGCACAAACTAGAATGTCTCCGTAGGACGTCCTGGTATTGAGAGAAATGTAGAATACTGAGTTGCTTCAAAATGCTGTAGTTTCACACTGCTCATGCATGCGTGTTTTAAATGCGGTTCAGTTACCTTCAGCCTTAGGTTACAGTAGTAGATATCATTTTAAGCTTTTGAGCCTACTGAATATCAGCACTTGTACCAATAAATGCTGAATGCTGATGTTTTTATTGCTTGAGCATAAACTGTCTCACTATTATTTTATTTGGGTTTATCAAAGTCAAATAAACATGCAGTTTCTCAGATACGAAGATCAGTCTGCAGATTGAGAGAGATTGATCTCTCAATCTGCAGACTGCAATTATTGTTGATATTACTAATCATGTATTAATAAATGGGTGATTTCAAATCAAATTTATTTGTTTTGCATGAATTTGCAGTCACATTATACTGAAATAAACCTGAAGATTTTCCTCTAGTAACATTTAAAGTTTTACAAGGGTATTTTCAGGGTCAGAATGTTACAGCTTTCTGACTGATATGGGAACCTATAGTATTTCAAGGGATATTATGTCAGTAAATGTGCCCAAATTTCATTTGAAATGTATAATAAATGTTGACATACACTAGTGATTTATATTTCCTTTAATAGTAGTAGTATTCCCTTTAGTAGTAGGATTTCTATTTTTTTAGTTTTTTTTAGTCACACGATACTGTATTTTCTCCCTAGTATAAAATTTTAGAGGATCTTGGAAGTAAGTTTCATGGTATACTGTTTGGTAGCAGAGGTTTGAATGCCTTTTCAGAAATTTAACCTTGTTTTTAAATGCATACATAAATATATATTTAAACATACATTCTGATTTGTTGAAATGTAAAAAATAGCAGAATTAGGTGCCTTTTGAGCTACATGAGTCCGTTTTGCTGACAGTCGAAGATAAAGCCTAAATAATGATGCTCACTCGTTATCAGTAGTGGAGGGAAAATAACTGATTATGTTTGCATTTTCATATTAGGCCTTTTGAGATGACAAGTTGACATTTTTGGTGTGGTAATTCCATATTAATTTTAATTTGATTGACAGCTATTATCTTTTATAGACAGATATAATATCTTTCTAAAAAATACAGAATAGGTCATTAGGATAGCTTGCTCATATTTTGCTGTGCCGGGACAAAGTGAGATTGCTGGCTAATGAGAACGTTTTTTCGTTCAGGCACAGGTGACTACAAGTAAGTTATCTGAATGTGAGTATAGTTTTCTGGTAGAAAAATGCTTTTGATAGAATTTATTGAGGGTAAACATATACATTTAGCAACATTAATAAAGATCATTTTTAATTCAATGAAGTATATAATAGCTATGATTTTACACTTTTTTAAGACTGATGACCCCTTTTCAAGAAATCCCTTGAAATAATGAGCTCTGTATTAAACAAACTGAAGTACACAATTAATTGAATGTCACTACAAACCTATACAGTACACTAACTTGTTTTATGAACATCCATTTAATGAGTTTTTGCATTTGAAAACCTAATTTTTAGAATGCAGAATTTTTTTTTTTCCCAAACCAAAGCATGCCTTGTGTATATTGCATCCATGCCCATCACGCCTCACACAGCTAGTCCCCACTTCTGTGCTGCATTATTGATTGTATGCTATACCCTACCCAGAACTTTAGCCATTTTTGTGAATTTTGTCTCAAAATTTCTTGCCTTTCTTCTAGACTTCCAATTTCTTGTCAAGCTTAACCCACTAGTGCCACTTCATTTTCCACTGTATTGTTTAAATGTGTGCTGTTTATTGTAGCAAATGCTTGTGTTATATATACATACTGTATATATTTGACTATTATTAATATGTAAATATTATCTTAGGTCACATATCTCTTAATTATTGCCATTAATTAATGGGGAATTCATATTTGTTTAATGACCTTTCAAGATGAGGATTTAAAAATGAGGAGTTGATGAGTTAAAAGCTGATTAATTAAAAGCAGAAATGTAGGTCAAAAGATCCACTGTATGCTCACTCACCATGGAAGAGTGTTGATTTTACATCCTGGCAAATATTTTCCATCTCCAAGTAAGAGATAATGCCCCAGTCAAGTAATTTTATAACATCCATTTACAGTTTTTTGTTGTAGATGTAAGTGTTCAAGGTTATACATAGTGCTATTATATATATAGTGCTATTATTTGTGACGATAGTACAGCACTACTCTGGTAATATTTAGAAAAATGCTTGAAAAACTGCTAAATGCAGTTTAAATCAATTGACAGAGAATTAAATGCAAAGCTGAGCAGTGGAAATGTGGCTGGCCGCCTCTTTACAATTGTATGAAGAGATGGAAAGAGATAGCACACACAGCGGATAACTGTTTAATTTCTGCTGTACAGTTTGACACTGAGACAGTGCTAGATATAAATAGTTCATCTATTGTGCAGCAGAATGTTCTAAACATTACACTGAATGTTGAGGACAAAAAGCATAAGAAGTGGACATGGTTTTCGTGCCTGTTTTGTTTTCTTGTTCAGGTCCACCTGAGAGGCCTCTGAACTGCATAATACATTTAATTCCGATTCTGTTACTGTATTCTTCTTTGTGCAATGCACAGTAATATTAAAAAAAACATCCATAATTATCCTCTTTGGAGCTGATCCTCTCTGGTTCCCATCAGATCTTTTACTATAGTTTTTTTTTTTTTACAAACACAGATTTTGTTATTAACACAGTTCAAATATTAAAATTCAGTTTCCTATATAAAGTAATTACGTTAAGAACAAACACTGGTGTCTCTGCCTCTGGAGAGAGAATTTGAGCTGCCTGTTTTGAAAGAGAGATTTACTGGCACATTTCGGTTTATGAAAACAACGGGCAGACAGGTTACCACCTCCAGGAATTTCTGTGCAGCAGAAAGAAATTTTATTTTAATCATTACTCACTTATTTCCCTTGCCACTCTCGTGCTCTCAATAATACAGTCACTCTAATAGTTTAAAACTGCATTTATATTTTACTCTTCTGGTTTTTGTACAGTCAGTGCTCCTATGAGAGTTACTCCTGCTTTTATCATTCTAAAACCTCACACCCTCCCTGTCCATCTACTGTTTACATCACAAGACTTTTCAACAGAGAATTAAATTTACAGCAAGATTAATTACATTCTTGATAGCTTAAACTAAGGAACCAAAAAACTGACAAATGCTAACATGTTTTCTACTTCATGCCTCTTCAGTGTTTGGATCTTGAAGTTGTGTTGCTCTTCATTTATTGATGCTGGCTTGTTGTGTGGCAAGACCCATTAAATGTATTTAACTGTTTTACTAGTTCTCATTTTTACATATGTTGCTTGTGCTGACTTCTTTATTTAAAATGAGAACTTTGTCTGAGTGGACTGTTTAAAAGCACTTGTCACTTTATTTAGGCAGCTTTTCCTTTTCCTTGGTTCCCTGGGGTTGGAAGTCTCTGATATTGTGACATTTTGCTGTCTAAGAGCTGAATGTCATCTTTACTTGCATCACTCAGATTTTACCTTCATCTGTTGTGACCTTGAGGTTTCCTGTGTCGTTGTGCCTTGAATACCTGCTTGGTCTCAGTGGGAGGTAACGTCTGCTGATTTCTCTCCTGCATCCCTTGACTGATGCTCACATTGGGAGTAGAACTACAAATAAATAGATCAATAGATTAGGCTGGATGTTATACAGTATATTGTGGTTTTTAATGTTGTCAGTAATAGACATGTATTGAACATTCCGCACTTTATTTTAGCACTTGGATAATATAGATTTCTAGACCTCTTATGTAACAGGCTTAGTCTTCCTAAAACAAAGTGTTATCTAATTTTTCTGTCTGGTGATAAGCCAAGACGCTAATGAATGCACCTCCAGGAAGCTGCTTAAGATATGTTCGTATTCAAGAAGGGACCCATTGAGCTACAAGCTCAGCTCTTTGAGTTTTTGTCATTGTGTCTAGTCGATATACAGTAGAAGCAGAAATAGTGTTCCTTGTACTTGAACTTGAACTTTATTGCCATATGTAACCGGTAGTGGTACAATGGAATTTACAGAAAGTCTCTTGATTGTAAAACAAGTGTAAAAAACAAGACAAAGTGCAAACAGTGCATCAAGACAATGTACAAACAAACAATAGACAATGTGCAAGTAAACATGTAGACAGTTTGAATGTAAACAATACAGACGTGTAAACAATGACTGGAGATGTGCAATAGATAAGAAATCATAAAGAGGTAGATGGTGATGGTGTAGGTGTGGTCCGAGGGGGATGGCTAAATGTGTTCGCCAGCCTCACTGCTTGTGGAAAGAAGCTATTGAAGAATCTAGTGGTAAGTGTCCGTATGTTCTTATATCTCTTGCTTGAGGGCAGTGGGGTGAAGAGCTCATGCCCGGGGTGGTGACTGTCCTCTGTTATGGCCAGAATTCTACCATGGCAGTGGTCCTCATGGAGCTGTTTAATCTCGGTGAGACCGCAGCCGATGATCTTCTGGGCCATATTGACCATTCTCTGCAGTGCCTCTTTCTCGCGAAGAGGTGTTGCCATACCACACGGTGATCCCGTTGGTGAGGACGCTCTCGATGGTGCAGCGGTAGAAGTTCACCAACACATGTATTGGCATCCCCCATCGCTTGAGGCACCTCAAGAAATAAAGGCGCTGCTGAGCCTTCTTCATGATAGAGTCAGTGTTCACAGTCCAGGTTAGATCTTTAGAGATGTGAATTCCCAAAAACCTAAAGCTGGTGACTGTTTCCACTTCCATTCCATCAGTACTGAATGGGCTGTGAGTGTATGTAGTCTTTTCTATTTAAAAAAATAAAGGTCTTTTAGCCTGTCAGGGTACTGTATCTTATCTATTAGAGTAAAGTCTTACAAAATATTGTGTCCTGTACCTAGATACTTCAGACACTAACAAATAACATTGGTTTGGTTGAGCAAAGTGGTGTCACATGAATCACTGAAATATAAATGTGAAGGACAAGTGCCACTCCTTTTTATTTTGTTTTCACAAATTAATGGATGCAAGTGAACCTAGACATCATTGTAATAATAGGCACGCAGTACTGAATTACAGCAAGTTTTGCATGTCCCAGTTTTGATTGCCTCATTTGTCTTTTTTTAATTTTTGTTTCCAGCCCAAAAAAAAAACTACTCATAAACTTTCAGCTAAAGTAACCTTGCCTGTGATCAGATGAAGTGTTAACACTTCTAACAGAGGTAGGTTGATAAAAGATGCAGGGGGTTGATTTTCATTTTATATTATTCCCCAGATACATTCTCACATACTTCTGAAATGTTAGAGGAGAGCTATGAATATATAGGACAAATTACCTGACATGCTGTGGATACTGATTCACATGAAATTTATAAGTTGCAGATTGATGAAGTAATTTATTCAATAACATACAAATAACAAAATGAAAACAATGGACCAAATAAACTATTCTCATTCATAACCTAAATCCTTTATTTCCTCAGCTTTACCCAGAGTGCATGTCCCATTTAGGAACAAATGTGTATAAATTTTACCCTCTCCTCCTCTTTCTAAAAAAGAAAATAATATCATAACTATAAGTGTTTTACAATGGACACAATATGGGATCAGTTTCAGTGATGTTATCTAGCATCAATGTTTGTGCACATTACTTGGAGTCAGTTTGCATTACTTTTTTTGGTTATCCTGAAAAAAGATCTGTAGTAAGGAGATACAATTATGTTATTATCTATGAAGATCTTTGTGTATCTGGGATATGTTTTTATTGAGTTCTTATAATCTAAAGAATAGCTTAGTTTGTCATCCCTGTCTTGTGAATGATCTTATCTGTTTTATATCACCTCAGAACAGCATGAACTGTACCATAGGGAATAAGGACTAAGTATTAGATAAAGATTAGCGAAGCATTTGGAAATCAACTTTGCTCAGTACATACTGGAAAACATTGATGTCTCTCAGGATCAGCCCAGTTTAGCATCACCACCTAAGTACAAAATGAAATGTAAAGTGATAGATAATACAGTTTCACATCCCATCCTCTTTGATGTGTGAAAAGATATGTGTAACAACTGTTGTGTTTTAATGTGGAGTCACAAATCATTTTCCTCTTTTATAACCAATTGTTTTGGATGATTAAGCTTAAAACTGTCCTAGAAGAGATATAGGCATCTTTCTGAAGTGTCACAACCAAATGAACTTTTCATTGAAGGACCTGGAAGGCAAAGTGCATTTCATTCATGTTGCCAGATCTTATTGACATAGACAGGGTTTTTCAATCTTCAGATCGAATGGATGTTGGTTCCAAACTAGCAACACTTCATGTGGAAAAGTTATATACTTCTTTTCCCCATGAAGGTTGTCTAGAATCTATAGATTAAATTAAAAGCCTTCTGAAAATACTAAAAATACTGTAAAAAAGTACCATCTCGTATGCTCTGTGTGAGTCCATTAATATTGTTATTGGAAGAGTTGGAAGAGTTTTGTTAATCTCCCTTTTACATGCATTTAATTATTTTTGTAGTTTTAATCTTTTGTGAGAATTACAGGTTTATTGCATATATTTTATATCTTCAAGATACCTGATGAGTATCCTGATACCTGATGAGTTATTAAAATTTACAAGGCAATAGGTTTCACTATTTAGTTCCACTACATGTCTACTGTACATTCTGCAATTGGCATGCCTTTTTGAGGAATTGATAGTCTTCGAACAAGCCTAAGTGATGGTGATCTGTACTATCACATCTGATGAAAATTGTCCACAGTATAGCCACATTATACTGTATGTTGGAATTTGAGATTTTTAATTTAATAAGCTCTTGGCACCTTTGTTCATGACAACAATTTTGCACAAAAAAAAAATTCCATTCTCTAGAGAAAATTCAGCTACTTTTTGAATGAATTTCAGATGCTCCTACTGTTAAACTCCTGAGTTGGTGAGTTACAGTTTTTTTTTGTCTTTGTATGCGGTTGGCAATTTCTTATTAAACTGGGGTGGTGATTTAGTGCCGCTCGGGGGAAAGGTATCAGTACTGCAGATCAATTGTTAGTCAACAAGAAGGTAGTATTATAGGCAAAATGACACATTCCTCTGAAATGCAAAACATCATGGAAATAAATCAAGTGTACACCCTCTATTGACTAAGAGACTCTGAGAAAGTACACACTGATCAACAAGTAACTTGCTGCTGTTGTTTTCTAAGCACTGCCAAGAGAGGGCAGCACCAATTTATATGTGATTTCCCAACTGTAAAACCAACAAACTAAATATGTATTTTTAAAGTATAGTTTTAGTTTGATCGTGTCCGTACAGATTACAGATCTCAACTGTTAACTCTTCAACCCAGGTTTTTGGACAAATGTTCACCAAATTAATTGTTGGGTGGGTGGTCTCTGAAACTTTATGCAATTGCATTTGTAATATTAGTATAGAAAAATACAGAGAAAATACTCTTACTGCTTTTCTAAATTTCAAGCTAAACATGTTAAAACATGTTCTAAAAAGCAAATGATACTAATTGCTTGTTAAACCTTCTTATAGTTTTCTCAAAAGTTGTGTTTTATAATCTCTATTTACTGGTGAAGCTAATCCGTAGACAGATTATGTTAATAATAATCACTATGGTTATTTTTTAGATAATTATTTTTCCTCTTTTTAAACTCATTAATTTATAATAGTGAATTCCCACTCAACCTGAACTACTCAGCCACCCCCTATAGACTTTTACTTGTCTCTCACTTCATTAATATTTAAATTTTGAGTTAAAAAGCCTTTCTGAACCTTAGCCAAAGCAAATGTAAAATAAAGAACAGCACTATTATTTCAGCTCTTTTATGCTTTGGCAGTGCTCTGAGTATTAGAAAAGAACAGTGAGCACGACATTAAGCTCGTTACAATAAATTATATGGTATCAGTCAAAATGCTGTAACTAGCATCCTCCATTTAAAAAGTCGTTAATACAGTATGAATGTGTTTTTATGTTAGTGTTCAAGAGGAATGGAATTATAGGGGCACAGATTTCTTCTAGGTCATTTGTAACATTTTTTAAAGGATCTATCATGAAAATGTGAAGTGCAGTCCTCAATAAGACGGCAAGAAAAACTCCAACACTGCCTCGTGAGATAATTTCCTGTCATCTGCAAGTCACCTGTGAGAGTGCTGTCAGGGAGTCCTGCATCACTCCTCCAAACAATAGTAACTCTGCTGTAGGCTCTTTTAGTCTTGAATTGTGAAAAATGGCAGATGGCCCTGATTGTGGAAAGCTCACATGGCCCACATGCCTCCTGTTCTGTTACTAGGGGAGTAATGTTAGAGCCAAATTCATTAATAACTGGTGATGCAAGTTATGAAAAGAAAGAAGAAAACATAAAGCAGCAATATGTAAAATTAATTTGCCTTTTTAAAGTTTTACATTGCCTATCTTGACAGTCAAACTGTCATCAGGCACCTGGTCTTTAAGTGACTAGTACTTAAAGCACATAAGCTCTCAGTTTGGAAACCATTTTTCCTCCTTTCCCAGTCTACGAAATTCTTCACTGATTGCCTCAATGGCTCCCTTACAAGAACAATCAGTGTTGTATCTGACCTTTAGTGAGGATGTCAGCTCATTTATTTTATCCCGGTTCTCTTGCTCATGACTTCTTTGGCAAACGTT